AGAGGATGAAAAGCCACCATCCGGAACTATAACTGGATCGGTGAACCACTGGCAGTTCACCTAGAGGGAGTTGGCTAAAAATCCGTATTCCAAACTAACCATAAGAGGTAAGTCCACTACACCCAAACCTACCTGGTTGAGGTAGTGGTCAACGGCTCAATTGGTATCGATGTATTTTGGGCTTCTTGTATTTTTGAACCCCTCCAAAGGGAGTACGATCCGATGAAATGGACACCGACTCTCAATAGACTGCGGTTTTCACACACTGCCCCGCCGGTCTCGGACTGTTCAAAAGCTCCGGTTGTATATTCCCAAAGAAAATTCGCCTAATTTGGTCTGGACAATCCAGCCGTATTTCGCCTACTGGGAAATCGTGAACTTCTTGTTATAAAGATTACTGTACCGGGAATTGTTGGCACACAGTTTGAATTCAGACACGTGATATATATGTATATATATCACTACTAGGAATTTATGGGTAACAGACTTTTCTAGTCAATAGTTGAGCAACTCACTCCTCGCTTTACATGCGAAGAAACAAATTTGAATTGGGTCTACATTGCAGTCATTAAATGACGCAATTGACAATAACTGCCTGTATCTGTATAGTGATAATCATAGGCTGGCGACACAGAGACAGACAAGGACAACCGAATTTTGTTACCACCCTTTACATTGCCCCCAGAGTATAGATTGTAACCGGAAACTGTAACTGAACACTCGGTATGTACAATTTATTCGCACGGCCCCCCGCCTGATAGGAACCAAACCAACTGCAGGTCCCGCATTGAGGGAAACACGTAATAGCATAGACAACGACAATCAGTTGGTCGAGCAGAGCAGAGATATAGTGCCGAAAATGTTTGATCACGTCCGCGCTAGAGCTCATCGTTGGGTAAAAACTAGAGATGTAGCATCTGTGTGAGATATGGCATTATGTCAAGTGAGGTGAGAGATGCTATATACATTTCCAAGCTCCTGAGACAACTCCGTGCCATCGTATTATAATCCGTGCCTTGAACGGAAAGAGAGATATACATTTCGTCGGTTAGGAATACGATTGTAAACTGTTCCTGATCGATTCGCACACAACAAAAATGTGATACCTTAGGTGCGTCATAAAAAAAGGTTCCACGGGACCTCATGAGTGAATCCAACCGCGGATCGTATTAAAAGACAAAAAGATGAATAAATTCGTTTTTGGTACATCTTAACTAACGAAATACAGCACAATTAGACAACAGTAAAAAAGAGAATTTTAGTGTATTACGTTGTGCAGTTTATGCTTTATACATTTGTAAGTAACTACTTACAAATATTGCAGTAGCATAACACAATAATGTCACTTACTCCGAAGAGAACAATCCAGTCCATGTGTCATCTCCAACGAATAAGATACGTTTGCCGGCTCGATGCCATTGTTTTATCAGATTGTCTTCCATCAGTTCTGAACCGCCGAAATTGGAGCCAGCGTCGACAAAAGTGGGCATACTGCCAGTCATAAGAGCTTTTAAGCGTTGCAGTGTCGTAGACGGTGGATCCGCCATAAATCGCAACAATTGCATTTGTTTCGAATTTCGATGAGCAGATAATCGATCGGATACAAAAGGCATTCGAAATCGAGAGGGATCACCCAACACGTTCGAATCCGGTCGGACAAACGTGTAAGCCAATGCGTCGGCCACGATAAATATCACGCGTCCCTTCGGATGGGGTTCAACCGGTTCCGACCGGTTGAGCACAGAGACATGAAGAAATTCAGATCGATTGAGCAAAAATCCCCACAGGAATGTGAGTAATCCAATGAAATAGCCCAAACAACCGAAACCATTACGATAACGCCAAAGATACATTCAGTAGAACGGTTGAAGTAGAAAAAGCAGCACCCTATAGGTTGAAACTATCAGCAAAATAACCTGTCAAATGAAAAGAAGATAGTTTGGTAAACATCGGGATGATAGGAAAAATGCATGTAAAAAAAATACTTGTGGTCTGAATTTCACATTTAGCTCGCTTGTAAGTTGATAACAAACACGATATAAACTTGAATATGTATATCGAGGCAGACAGTAATTGTACCTATTAGTGAGTGATAAGAAAGTTAAATGGCACACAACGTCCAGTCCTGATACGGATTTGAGGCACGAATCAGGTTCGCGGGCATAGTCATGTGTTCCTCCGACAGGAGCAGATGTCCGACCTTACATTCAAGCTCGGAAAGGAAGAAACGCAGCAAAACCTAATGGACTTCGTCTTACTCTTCCATTTCGCCTGTTCGCCGAGCTTGGCAATTTGTTTGCAAACGTTTCATCACCAGCCGAGGTGACATCATCAGTGCTTGTGAAGTGGCAGTGTTCTGTCTGTAACCGTTCGTTTATATATGCGATCTTCTCCACCGGCTATTTTCGTCCTCTGTTCTCGCTGTGTTCGACTCGGTCCGCCGTTGAAC